CAATGTATAAGCCACATAAAGAATGTGGAATAGTGGGTTGTCAGCTACTGATTCTATAAATTTATACCAAGCTGCAACTGTTGAGGGTTAGGGTTAGGGTTAGGGTTAGGGTTAGGGTTAGGGTTAAAGTCGGGGGTTTAGGGTTAAGTCGGTGGTTTTCTGAGGTCCCCTCGCCACATCTTTGTATAATGTAATGCTTGTGTAATCTTTATTGTGGGAAAATAATAAATAAATAAATAATAAACACTTAAATGACTGTAATGAACACTCTCGCCAGTTTTAGGGGCTACTTTCAGTAACTTTCGACCATTATCGTTGACTACTTCGGCTTGCGTTAATTTTCATATACTAAACCTACCATAACTTTGAACACGCGCTATGGCAAACGCTTAAATACCTTTACACAATTGCGTTCAGTGAAATCAACACTGTCCCCATCTTTCGGGGATACTTTCGGCAACTTTTGACCACTATCGTTGACTTCTTCGCCCTGCGTTAAATCTTCATGTTTACTTACCATTTCTACGAACCGGCGCAATCGTAAATGGCTATATGCCTTTGTCAAAATGAATACTCTCGCTATCTTTCGGGGGTACTTTCGGTAACTTTCGATCACTATCATTGACTACTTCGACTTGCGTCAATCTTCATAGAGACTTATACCATTACTTGGAACGCGCGCTATCGCCAACTTGTGAACACTATAATGTTAATTGACACCCTCGCAATCCTTCTGGGTACTTTCAGTAACTTTCGACCACTATCGTCGACTACTTCGACTTGCGTCAATCTTCAAAGAGACTTATACCATTACTTAGAACGCGCGCTATCTCCAACTTGTGAACACTAGAATGTTAATGAACACCTTCGCAATCCTTCGGAGTACTTTCGGTAACTTTCGACCACTATCACTGACTACTTCGACTTGCGTCAATCTTCATAGACACTTGCCATTACTTATAATCCGCTCTATCCCCAACTTGCGAACACTATAATGTTAATGAACACCCTCGCAATCCTTCGGGGTACTTTCGGTAACTTTTGACCACTGTCGTTTACTACTTCGACTTTCGTCAATCTTCATGGAGAATTATACCATTACTTGAAACGCGAGCTATCGCCAACTTTTGAACACTATAATGTTAATGAACACCCTCGCAATCCTTTGGGGTACTTCCGACCACTATCACTGACTACTTCAACTTGCGTCAATCTTCATAGAGACTTATACCATTACTTGGAACGCGCGCTATCGCCAACTTGTGAACACTAGAATGTTAATGGACACCCTTGCAATCCTTCGAGGTACTTGCGGTAACTCTCAACCACTATCATTGACTACTTCGACTTAAGTCAATCTTCATAGAGACTTACCATTACTTAAAACGCGCGCTATCTCCAACGTGTGGACACTATAATGTTAATGAACACCCTCGCAATCCTTCGGAGTACTTTCGGTAACTTCCGACCCATATCATTGACTACTTTGACTTGCGTCAATCTTCATAGAGACTTACCATTACTTATAACTCGCGCTATCCCCAACTTACGAACACTATAATGTTAATGAACATCCTCGCAATCCTTCGGGGTACTTTCGGTAACTTTCGACCACTATCGTTGACTACTTCGACTTGCGTCAATTTTCATAGAGAATTATACCATTACTTGGAACGCGCGCTATCGCCAACTTGCAAACACTATAATGTTAATTGACACCCTCGCAATCCTTCGGGGTACTTTCGGTAATTTTCGACCACTATCGTCGACTACTTCGACTTTCGTGAATCTTCATAGAGAACTATACCATTACTTGGAACGCGCGCTATCGCCAACTTGTGAACACTATAATGTTAATGGACACCCTCGCAATCCTTCGGGGTACTTGCGGTAACTCTCGACCACTATCATTGACTACTTCGGCTTGCGTCAATCTTCATAGAGACTTACCATTACTTATAACTCGCGCTATCCCCAACTTGCGAACACTATAATGTTAATGAACACCCTCGCAATCTTTCGGGGTACTTTCGGTAACTTTTGACCACTATCGTCGACTACTTCGACTTTCGTCAATCTTCATAGAGAATTATACCATTACTTAAAACGCGCGCCATCGTCAACTTGTGAACACTATAATGTTAATGGACACCCTCGCAATCCTTCGGGGTACTTGCGGTAACTCTCGACCACTATCATTGACTACTTCGGCTTGCGTCAATCTTCATAGAGACTTACCATTACTTATAACTCGCGCTATCCCCAACTTGCGAACTCTATAATGTTAATGAACACCCTCGCAATCTTTCGGGGTACTTTCGGTAACTTTTGACCACTATCGTCGACTACTTCGACTTTCGTCAATCTTCATAGAGAATTATACCATTACTTAAAACGCGCGCTATCGTCAACTTGTGAACAATATAATGTTAATGGACACCCTCGCAATCCTTCGGGGTACTTTCGGTAACTCTCGACCACTATCGTTGAGTACTTCGACTTGCGTCAATCTTCATAGAGAATTATACCATTACTTGGAACGTGCGCTATCGCCAACTTGCGAACACCATGATATTAATTGACACCCTCGCAATCCTTCGGGGTACTTTCGGTAATTTTCGACCACTATTGTCGACTACTTCGACTTTCGTGAATCTTCATAGAGAACTATACCATTACTTGGAACGCGCGCTATCGCGAACTTGTGAACACTATAATGTTAACGAACACCCTCGCAATCCTTCTGGGTACTTTCGGTAACTTTCGACCTCTATCATTGACTACCTCGGCTTGCGTCAATCTTCAAAGACACTTACCATTACTTCGAACGCGCGCTATAGCAAACACTTAAATGTCTTTGCGAGCCTCGCGCAAAACCGACCTCCTGTAAATCTAAAAAGGGCCTCTAGCTGTCACCGTGATGTTGTAAACCTAAGTTATACCGACTTGTTTAATGGTGTATCTTCTTTTTAACACTATGTATTTACATGAATGTTTTTGCGAAAGCAATGCAAGCGCATGGAATTCTTATGACATGCAGTTACAATATTTTAATATTAACTCCCAACGGTTTAACTCCAGATTAGGCAGCTGGCAATCAGCATCTTGCCTTTTCTCGATATTAAAGTATCATCGCTTCTCTCAGTCTTCTTAATTCCTTATTTCCTTGGAAATCATCCCAAACAATGCACGTTATTAAGGGGGGAGGTAAGGGGGAGGTTTTTGATAAACGCTGTCTGAAGTGTTTATCTGAATTTCTTAAAAAAATAACATTATTTTAAATCTATTGCAAAGTAGATATAACTCGGTTAAGTTGACAACCTGTATTTAATATTATCTATCCAATACTGTATATTTAACCATTCCTGTCTTAAACTGTAATAAAATTAAAATTGTAATGAGTGTGTTAGCGTAAGTAATACTTTGTCTATTAATGTATTAGTTTGTGTAATGGGTACTACATGATCTGATGTAATGGCAGTGCTTTGAATATAGTTCGTGCAAGCAAATATGAACCTGAGTTTCAGATAAAGATAATCAAACCAAATATCTTCTGCTACTTCTGAATTTGTCACCCTTGTTCTGGTTGCCTTCGTTCACTTTAATCTGGGAAACGCGAGAATAACTGGGAACAACTGCCCTATTGCAATGGTGGCGTCCACGTCATCTGTGCAAGCCTCATAGATAGGTTGAATTACGCCCCATTGTCAAAAAAGCGCACAACTTCGACAAAATCAAGCAAATAAGAAAGACCCTGCTGGCAGGTTAATTGTTTTATAGAATCGTGCCAGGGAATGGGCTGAATTGTTTAAAAAGAGAAGCTACTCCTTCACGCTAGTTCTTTTTTAAACATAAAGAATTGGAATTTCTGAACTTTTTCCTTTGTTGATAAAAAAGTGATAAAAAACGAGTACACACTTAAAGTACAATTGAGGGTAAAATGTTACCCAGCAATCTAGAGTATAAAATTCTAATTACACATTGTCGCAACACGCACAATACGAGCTCGGAAAGGATCTATTAAAACCGGCGTATTAAAACACAGTGCAAAAACTTCATGAAATCACTGAAAGGTTACGTTGGCCGTTACATAGTTCTTAGTCTGCGTCAAACCGGACAATTGAATTATGGCTATATAATTCGGTTATATAATGATGGAATTCCATACTGTGGAGGGATCAAGACATGAGATCAGACTCAACAGCCATATGTCAGAGGAACAGTCTCCTCCCGCATATCGCACTTCATGTGCCAGGGCGGGTCCATCGGGTTCCTCTCCAAAATCAACGCAGAAATCAGGATTCAACTTGAGACCACCATTCACTGTATCAACGTCCACTTGAAGCAACATGCTACAGTCAATCATCTCTACATCTGTTAACTTGGAGAGAACGGCCGTTCTGGAATGGTGGCCGTTGAATGAATGTTTTATGAGGAAGTAGAAGCTTTTAGAATGGCAGGATATTTTTAAGAAAATACGAAAATACTCATAGAGTTGGCAACAAGAAAGTCATCGTAGGTTCAATTAGTTAGGACAAAGACTCCCCACATGCCATTTGGTTAAACTTTTTAGATATACATTTCTTTGCCGTTTCTGCGCGACTTCGACAAAAATCGCCTATTAATATTTATGGAGGACGTGAACAAACAAAAATGAATTTTTCTCTCTCTTTCTGAACTTGAATAGTCGGGAATTCAGCTCCAAGAGAGTTCGACTACATTTGACAAGGTAAGCAAGTCGGGAAAATCGCGATGAATTTTGAAATTAAGACAATTAAAGAACGCCGCGTTTTCACTCCTTTTACGTCGTCGTCGTGTGATTACGTCCGCAGTCCATAAAACCAGACTTCCGAGGAAGGAAATAATTAAGTAATTTTTTTATCTTTTCTTATCAATGAAAATGCTGACTGCCGTACTAGGGGAGGCTGGGATAAAACTTGTTGTCCCAAAACACTGTACAGCGATGATGTAAAGTATAATGGCTTTCCGTCCAGACTGAGCTACAACATCTGTGGCCCACCCTTGACTCTCTTTCCCTTCACATAGCACAGGTCAAGCTGTTCACTTAATTCACTATCCTCTATCACTTTCACTGAGCCATCTTTGGTTATACTACCACCAATGAAGAGCTAAGACAGAAAAAGATCACATGTTAATTATTATAATGATCAAAAACGAATTTGATGTGTCTCCTGTGTTTCACAAAAATTACGCGATCAGCTAGTTTTGCGTGGTTTCAGAAAAAAGGGTTTGATGGCAGGAAAGGAATAACCTAACAGGTGTTAAACATGAAAACGCCGGAGGAAGGGCTGCGGGGGGAGTAGGGGGTCCCAGTAATGGCCTAATGGGGATTAGCCGCTGGATGGAGTCCCATCTTCACGACTGGGTTGACTATAATGACCTATAACAGGGTTGCGTTTTCAACAGTTACTACTAGACTTTCTCAAAGTTCTTCGCTTCTCATTTCCGGTTCCGGTAACATAAAAAATCTACCACTCGCGCTCCGCGCTCATGAAAAAATTTGAGCTCGACTTGTAGGCAAGTCTAAGTTACTACCAGAACGGGTTCCTTAATTTTCGGGAGCATTCGGGGAAGAAAAGGTCGGTTAGTATGTACGTAGGGATTTAATACTAGGCAGATTCACGGTTAAAAAGTTGGTACCTTATTTTGAGCTTTTGGTTTGATATTTGACAATCGGCTCGCATAACTTTCCGTTCTAAGTTGTGATTGAGAAATCACATTTGTTCAAAAGTGACATAAGATGAACCCTGCGCTAGCAGAGGTAATTTAACCAGAGTTAAAAAGATTGACAAATAGTTCTCATAGTTTCCCCCGGAACAAAAAGCAAAAAGCTATGGTCAAGAAGTCGGTGTTAAATGAGGAATTCAAGCATACAACGCAAATGTTTTTTATTGTAATATATAACTAAGATAGTACGCGCGTTCTGATTGGTTAAAAATCTATCGTTTATTGTGTCGGTAAACTCATAGAAAACTTAAGCTTTTCAAGTGTTCTCTCAACATTCCGCGTGGGTTATCACGTCGGTAAACCCATAGAAACTGTGATCTATTGCTTAAATATTTCATCATTTGTAGAATACAGACGTGTAGCGCGTTGGTAATTAATATGTACCGGTAGTTATTGTGTGTCTTTCCTGTGTTTCTCTACTTGAATACTGTGTTGAGCCTTTATGAAAGCCGTTTAGAGGGTAACCGACCTTCCTGGCCAACCAGTTTGGGATTCTTGGTGTCTGTTATATCATACTGTCTGAGGTCTCCATGAAGCCAGTTACCGAAATACAAATATCTTTCGTCCAGAGAGATAAGAATATCTGTTACCAGACCTGCAGAAAAACGCATAAAAAACCGCCATTGCAAGTCTTTGAGTTAGGAGTTAGGAGTTTCGCGTGACGGCCTAAGAAACTTATCGTGACTAGACTGGTTGGGTCATCGGTGTTTTCCGGTTTGTTTTGTTTATTTTGGTAAAACAAAAACAAAAAAAGGCAATGAAATATAAGCTACAAAATAGCACAGAAGATTCTTAAATAATGAAAAAATCAGCAGCGTAAATCGTCATTAATAGAAATCAAAATATTACCCACTACTCTAATACCGGGGGAAAAATTGTTTCAGTGCATAATCTTCTATACGTGAGCATGAATAGCCAACAGCAATAACCATTATTAATGACATGTTCCCTCGCAAGTGATTTGCTGCTGATCACCTCAGTCGAAGCGTCCAATCAAACCTCGTGGGTATTCTTCATCAGACCTAAATGGTCCTTTAAATTTCATTAATGTGTGAAATATCTTTGTCTTCAACGGTGTCAACTGTTGACAATTTCATTTTCCTTTTTGTATATCATGTTCATGAAATAAATTAACAACCCTCTTCGACTCGATTTATTGCACAATCGCGAAGACAGATGTCGTTAAAATTCCTGTGCTATTTAAGATGGCTCTAGTTTGGCATGGATTTCAGGTAGGCCTAGTACCTTGATAGGAAGCTTAATGTAACAGTTTTAAATTAAATTCAGTTTCCCAGTGCTTTTAAGATTAAAACTAAATTAAAGCGTTAGAAGAACCGAAACCCTGGGGAACTCCCGCATTAGAAGAGGACGTCAAATTTCTGTGATCACGAAATGTATTCAACATAGCAAACTGTCAGCATCATCAGGATTTTTCGTTCGGGCTGTGCTTTAAGAAGATTAGAATAGATATTTGAACTTACTAGCTTTGCGAATTTCTTCAAGACAAGAACTCAGCATAGCATGCAGTTTTTGACTGATTGTATTTAATTCACTGCAAAATGAATTCAAAACAGATCTTCAAACAAGTTGTATACTGGTGCTTTTTTTAACGCAAAAAAATCTGTGAGCCATAATGGGGTTTTAGCTAAATAAAGGACAACTTGTGGTTGATTACAGCCTCTCTTGTTGTGATCTATAATTCATGATAAGAGACTGAGCCTATAATAAGTACAGAAAAAATCAATTATTAAATATGTTTGTAGAAAAAAAAAATGTTAATGAGCCATCTGCTTTTTCGAAGTATTTAATATTAAAGATCAAACTTAAACCCGGGCCGATCCTTGTATTTTTTGTTTGGTTTTGTTTTTTTGTTTGTTTGTTAGTTTGCGATATTTCTTTGTCATTCTTTCCCTATTCATTTTAAGTCAAAATACTGACATGAATTGCCCCATGAGATAGAAGGGCAAAAAATCACTATGTATTCTCCTTATATTGCTTCTGTTTTCCAGGTACTATCGTGTTTTGCGCAGAACAACAATGATGTTTTTATTCCAACACCGAAAGTAAAGACATTAGAACCCAGGCTCACTTCAACTACTCCGCTTCCAGTGACCGAGAAAAATCTGTGGGGCCTGAGATTGTGGCAAGTTATGGCGCTGGCTTTATTTGCCACCATTGTGTTAAGTAAGTAAACCAAGCGTTCTTACACAAGCCTGCGTTAGCAGGGTCCCTTCCAAATCCCGTCTTAAGAGTAAGGTTTCGTTTTGGTCAGCACCCATTTGCGTTAAAGAATTGCAGTTACATTGTGTTTAGGTACGTATGATGTACCGATAAGGGAATCCAAAACAGTCTCGATTCTGGATTCCCACGCCGCTGGTTCCGGATTCAAAGTACACATGTACTGGATTTTGTCATTGAAAATTGGATTCCGGATTCCAATCGTTAATGGGATCTGGATTCATTGAGCTGTATTCCGAATTCCAAAGCTCAGGATTCCGGATTCCATAAAAAAAAATTCCCAGATTCCGGGGTCCAAGATCCAGGAAACAGGATTCCCTTAAATGAGTGGATATCAGGATTTAGTATTCACCAAATCAGTGGATAGCAATTTATCCAACTGATTCGGTAAATACTAAAAAAAACTATCCCCCTCAGGGTCGGTTCATAGTGCTAGATATATTAGCTCGACGCTTCGCGTCTCGGTATATAGTACCCTTATTCACCTCCCCTTCTGGGATAGTCGTATAATATTGTTCCTTAAACTGCAAAAATACAAAAAAACGTATAGTGGCCCGTAACCAGGGTGCTCATGATCACTAAAAGGAAAGCGGACTCTTGGCACGAGATTGGGTCCGTTCCACCTACACAATTAGATATGATTTTTATGGAACGTGCGTTTTCAGTGGTGAAGGTATGCTAGTTAAATTAGAGATAGACAAAAAGCCTCTAATGAACAAGCAGAGATTTCGTTGAGGCCGGAGGCCAGACTGAATAGCGTCAAGCCAAGTTCCCGGGCACTATCACTTTCAGAAGTAAAATAAATCTGATGATTTTGTATTTCTTTACGTAACTAGAGTTGATCCTTAGTTTTCTCACTTATATAACTCATCCGGTCCATCTTCCAGGGAGCGCAGGAAACGGAGTTTCAGACAAGGATGCAATCTCAAAAATAATTTCCATCGAATGGGGGATGAGCAAAGAAAGTTCCAGACTTCCTTAAAATTTCGACCCTTTTGCGCCTATCTATACGGTACCCACGTCCGCTTGTTTCTAAACACCCTGAGCTCGATTTTGCCTCATATAAGGTAATCCAAGGCAGTCTTGGATTCCGGATTTCAGATACTAGATTCCGTACTAGCTGGATTCCAGATTCCTTGAGCTTAATTTTCGATTCCAAAGTCCAGGATTTTCGATTCCATAGGCAAAACTTTCCTGGATTCTGGAATTCGAATCAGGAGGCGATCGATTCTCCTGCGGAAATCACCTGAATGAGCTGTTATGCTCATACCGACCTAACCTCTAACCATTGATTTCCAGTAACATTCTGCTGCTGTCTCTGTGACTGTCGCATTCCCAAGACAGGTTACGATAGTAAAAATGACCCAGAGGAAGACAGCGACTGCAGCGATGTTAAACAACTGGTTGCCACTCCCAAACAAGGACATGGAGAAAAAGTGTCGACGAACGGCTTTACTCCTCAAAAGAGTCAATTGCGGACCACAGGACACGAAACGGGGAAAATGAATAAACGTTTTGATAGTGAAGGTGAAATATCTTCCAAGAGTGATAATTGGAGGGGTACACCTCGAGTTGCGTTTTCGCGGCAGCCATAACCATGATGGAAAAGAGTTTGAAAATCGACCAGCAAATAACGTGATGAATGAAAAGACGCTAAAAACTTACGTCACAACGAACACAGAAATTCGCCACTTTCGCATTGCTCTGTAATACACTTTTTGTGCCCCGTCCCCCAGACCTTCCCCAAAGCAACATTGTTTCCAATTTCTCCCGGCTATTACAGGGGGGACATTACAGTAGTCCGCACCCCCCCCCCAAGAAAGAATGAAGACAGTGTTTATGCAAAATTTGGTGTTGGGGGAGGAGGTTGAGGGGCAAACAGGGTGTATAAGTGGGCAATGCAATAGTCGCGAATAAACGGCCGACATTTTCTTGTAAAAAAAAAACTTAGTTAGTACGGCCAAATATTTTTGGCCCATTGGTGATCGTAACAACGGAGTTCCACTTTATCGAATGTACTACATGTGTAGGCTGGGGTTATTTAGGTCACTAGTGTCCACACGCTGCCCATCGATGAAGTGTAGGCTTGTCACAGTGTTGACCTCGAACACAGCATAAACTGAAGACAAGTTAGAAAACATAGCACAGCGGGTATTTGTACTTCACGATTGTTAAATAATAAAAGAAATTCGAGAGTAATTGTCTTGGCCTCGTGGCCTAATGGATAGGGCGTCTGACTTCGGATCAGAAGATTCCAGGTTCGAGTCCTGGCGGGGTCGTGCACGCTCTTTTTTAATATTGGTTCTTCGTTTGACACGATGCATTTACTTTTGTGTTAAGGTAAAAGAATAATTTTAATTTGGCGTGAAACTCATCAATTTACTCGAAAGTCGTAATACTGTTCAAAATCTTTTTTTCAAACTAGCTTTAGTCTATGTGCAACGTTTTGTTTGTGATCAATTTCAATCGTTTCCCATAATTCTGCAGAACAGCTCGGGAAAAAAATCAACCTACAAAGAGAAAATTAAAAGCAATGTTTTCTAAAAGATTTATTAGTACTGATCTAACGTTTTCACTTCAGAGCTAGTGAAGACTTATCAACCAGCTGAAGAAGGAGTTAATTTCACATTACAGTTACCGTATTAAGTTTTTAACAAATAAAATTTCCATTGATAGAAAATGGAAAAAGCCTTTTCAATTTAGTTTAAGACTACAATTGTAGATCCAACAAAATACATTCCTCACGGAGCATTGTAATGTGTAGTGATTTTAATCAGCATTGAATCTAATTCTTTGATGACTTAAATTGACAAAAGAAAAATCGTTAGGGATTCATTTTTGCTTTTTCGCAACTTTTAAGAATAGAATCAGAAACGGTACTTTTCTCCAGAAGTATCTCATTTGACAAGAGTCCTAAAAATCCTTGAATACGATTGGTTAATCGTACTTTTGTTACAGGTTCAGCTTTTTGCGGTCCGTCCGATGTAATCGGTTGTCAAGGTTGTGTTTTCTCGGCTTACGCGAGGTTTTAAAGTGTTTGTAATAAACAAGCAATAGCCACGGAACAGCTTACTTAGAACAGCTTGCTGATAAACGTCATGCATCAACAACGAGAGGAGGTTAACGGTAGAGAATTAAATTTTGTGTTTAAATATATTAAATTACCTTGAAATGTATCAAAGGAGAATTAGAAGCAAACTCCGCCCTTCAGATGAAATATTTGACGAAAAACACAAAAACAACGGCAGAAACCTCCCCTCTCCCCAAAAAAGTTGATCAAAAGTCTAAAAAAGATAGCCTCAGAAGTTCAAACTGTCTTGTTCGGCGTTGAGCTCGCGCAGATAAACGTTACATTTTTTCTTTATGACGTCAATTTTTTTAGTCTTTCCACGTCAGAAAGCGAGATGAATCGTGTCGCATTTGGGAAGGAAAAAATTAAGACGTTCTTGACAAAATGAAAGCCTTTTTAATCTACATTAATGTGCTCTCAACAGTGTTAGGAACTTCGGCTGCCTCAGCAAACATCATTAAGCAAGGTAAGAGTTTATTTTTGAAAAAGGAATCTTTAAATTATTTTTTATCTTGCGTAAGCTGGGGTAGAAAAGGCGCACGGCGAAAGCAAAAATCGTCATTTTTCCTAGTGACGCCTATAATTCAGATCAGTTCGCTCTCTCACTGTCAAACATAGCTGCGCCAATGTTGCATTCCCAAACATTACGAACTAGCTAAAATTGATCAGTATCAAAATGAAAGTTATTTCTTTGATTCAAAATTTTCTCTTTATGTGACGACCCCTGCTTGCTGTGAAAGGTTACATTAGGTTTTATTTTACTTAATCTGTGGTTTCTTATTGTTCCAAAAAGATGAGGACTCTTACGCGCACACTTAAGGTAACATTCATGAATGCAATGCCACATCATAAAAACTTTTATAAACTTTTTTTTGTCAGATTCACTTTAATCAAGGTAGATCGATGTAAGGTTTTCAGTCTCAAGTTGTTTTAGTCATGTTTACCGGTTAAAATAGACCTGAATTATTACTAAAAAATAAGGGAAACATTTCGGTGGAAAGATCTATTAAAAGTAAAGCATTAGCAAAAGTGCCATGTTTTATATGGAGTTTGAAATTTTTGGGGACGTTGCCCTTCATCAGTGGACTTACTAGTACGTTAGAACTGGTCCAAGGTGTTTATTAAAAGACAATAAAAACTTTGTAGTGCGCGCCGCTGTGCGCGCGGCCTACAGGAAACGGAAGTCGTAACTTCCCCTTATAAATTCCTACAGTGAATCGGGTTCCCCTCAGTTGTGAAAGCTGAATAAAGGCATCACTCACTCTAACGTGAATGAAAACAAACAGGAACAGCTCCATCGTCGTTTCAATTTTGTAGAAGACTTTTGGTAACAACTGAGAATGAGATAATCGAGGTCGATTGTTTTTGAATATCATTAAAATTCGACCTTTAATTTATAAGAAATAAACCACTTTATGCAGAAGGATAAGTAATACTTCATGCTAATTTATCTCTGACTGTTTGCGTTTACTAGATTTTTGCGCAAGATTCCTCTCTGCATTAATGAACTGGACATGGCAGGATACGTTTGATGTGATGAGTGTTATTTGGTTGACTGATTATTGCTGCATGGCTTTATACCTCACCATTCAGTACGTTACAAATATCATCACCCAATGCAGGTGAAGGTGCACACGGCTTAAATACACATTTACAGCTATTAAAGAGTTACTACAGCCCTGTTCAAATCTCTTGGGACGCTAACGCAATAACTATCGTGAAAATAATGCATTTTCCCTACTTCCTCCACGGTGCGGTGTCCACGTCATATATTCGAGTCTTTTTCAACATAATCAACATTGCTTAGGGAAGAGGGGACCGCCGCGGAAATAGGCTCTTACAACCAGTTCATATCCAGGCTTTTATACTGGGGGGAAAAGATTACGAGCTAGCCTTGTCTGTCTCTTCTTGCGGCCATTCTTTTAAAAACGACACATTTATATTACAGACACCTTTCTTCGTTCAAAAAATTTGAAATTTCATTGAATCCTTAAAACCTGACAACGAGCAACTCTGCAGCTTGCGCCACAGACGGAAATAACCTTCTTGTTAAGTCAGTCTGCGAAACAGTGCCGTAAAAGTGTTCTGGGACGCGTGTTTACCAAGATTTGAGAACGCGCCATAATTGAAAAGTTAAAAAAGCTATCGCCAATATGCCAATCTGTTGAAGGGAAATTCGAAACGTATTTCCAGTAATTCATTGGGCGCTTTCCAATCGACCCAAAATTCCGAAAATTTTGGTTGGTACATCCCATGGAACGGACCGCTTTGGTTTGCTCCGACCGGAATTTGAAGGTGCATGGTCCACTTTGACCGGTCGGAACGAAATGTTCCTTTCCATTTGACCAAATTGTTGTCCCCCGTACCGCTCTTTTGTATCCTGCTTACAAGAACAATAACCAAACGCGCGGTGGCTTGGGTAGGGTCTGTGCAAACGTAGTCACAGTATCGTTCCATTGGGCACGTGGAATTTCCGAAATTGAATTTCAAACCGGAATTTTGTTCAATAGAAAGCACCCGTTGAGTCCGTAAGGCTTAACAAGGATATCGGCTCTGCTTGGAGGACGTTACTAAGGCACCGGCAAGAGATCATAATACGACCTGTTCTATTATGGCACATGGGGACCAGTTATTACGCCTGGGCGGGGACGGAGGATTTTAGGCTAAACAAGGTAAAATTTAGCCGATTCCCCCTTTGAATGTTACTTCACTGAAATGATCCACCCTAATAACTTTTGATGACTTTCGCGATCCCTCCCCCCCATGCCTTCATTTTTCAAGCAAATTTGAGTTGTCCCCCCTCTTACTCCTTCCAAACTTTTCAGAGATCCACCCTTTTGGGTTCTCAGTTACGACTGTTCCCCCCTTTTGTTCTCCCAAAAATCAAGTGATCCCCCCCTAAAATCCTCCTCCCCCCCCTCCCACAGGCGTTAAATATCGACCGGTCCCTAACCCAAGGACGATTACGTCGGGGACGCAGGGTAACGACTCTGTAATGCAGACACAAGTCCTTCCCCCCTCCTCGCGCGCCCGTCGCGTTTCCCTCGCGCCTAAAACTCCCTTTCCCTTCCCTGTCAAACGTCTACCACGCAAGCACTGCGTTCCCGGCATGCACTGCAAGCTAACAGAGGCCCAACAACCGGTGGTTTCAAAACAATTTATTTTCAGATCTTATTTATTTGTCACAATTTATGCTTTTCTCTTTCGCTAAATCCGTTAGTTATTCTGTTGTATCTAACGTTTGCCTTACAGATTGTCCTGCGAAATTCGCAAACGCGGGGCAGAGAAAAAATGTGACTGGTTACGTCAAGAAAAACTACGCGAAGGAGCAGCTCAAAAGAAACCATGGACACCGAAACCACCTAAAAAGAAACGACCTAACTATTATGGCAAATAACAAAAATAGTAGCTTTGATCGCAATTATGAAGGACAAACGCTTTCTTGTTATATGATTCGTTTTTGATTCATGCTGTTTTCCAAGATATCCTTTGTAAACTACGTAAATAAATGTATGAATTGTTCTCATACATTGTCAAGTGAGTGAGTTTGGACTTGCGGACAGGAACACCAAATTAAAGCTTCTTACCACTGACAAATTACCTTCGCTGAGAACAAAAAAATACTTCTTTCACTGCCGGATTATGTATCTGACACTCCTTTCTAGATCTCTTCATTACAACATCAACAACAACAATATATAAGTTTTATTTGCATATAGATCCCCAAAGTCGACCAATTTGTCCAAACGTTTAGTGCTTCCCACTATACAAACGTCTGTAAAATTAAAAGAGGCTAATATGTTTGTTCTTTTCCAACAAATCATTCAGAAACTTTGGGCAATGTTTTTCTTCCTTAGCCCATTTTTCACCGATGTCGATGGATTTTCACTAACTGTTTTAAGCCAACAATTGAAAAAATCGTTGAAGGGTCTATTGTGGAATGAACTTCCATTCGCAGAGCTAGACGTTGATCAACTTTCGTTGATATTTTTTTATTCAAGGCCGAAAATATTTTTAGCGAAAAAAGTGATATTTTTATCTTTAAACACGTTCGAATGTTTTTGTATAGAGAGTGTACTTAGAACATAACAGACACGCAGGTGTTTGTGCTAATGTTAATCCCTAATAAAAAAAACTTTTTTCCTTTTTATAATCTATTCAGATAAACGACAGCTTGGGCTAGAAGAAATAACTAATCAACTGCGACAGTTTTGTTAAAATAAAATACGATGGAGCTATTAAAAAAATTCGAAAGGTATTAAAACAATTACCTTTTGACAGAAAGTGTCTCTTATTCAGCTTCTTTTTCCCACCCAATTTTTGTCGCGCCAGTAAGGAACCTAACACAAAAGAATTAAAAGCAATGTACCATAATTATCATACGTTATCATACTGTCCAAGTTAAGATACAGGGCATGATATATGAAAGCTATACGATATATAACCGAAATATGATAGTCAGTAGATGTGCTCACATTGTGGGTGGTGCCTCTTAAAACGTTCTATTATTGCTGTAGGATGGAGCCGAAACGAATTGCGGAATTGCGCACATTTTAGGCATCCTACTGATGAACAGTTACGACTTTTAGATATTTCGAGCAACAACAATTTGCCGTCTGTCCTCTTTGAATTGAAATGAATGCACTCATCGAAAGGACTCGGTTAGCGATAACATACTCAGAGCTCAATTTCATGATGATCCTATTTACACTGCCGCACTGTACAATTTTCTTGTAGCGCACTCTGCAGTTTGCAGCCATTCTAGTTGTCGAGTTTAGAACCAAATTAATACAACACTATCCCTTTCTATTTGCTTTTATTTTACGGTTGATAGTACACATAACTCGTGAAGTATTCAGTAACCCATTTGATGGATCAATGACCTTCGTTACCTTATGTTATACTTAGCGTGTTTTGAATAATTTAAAACGGTACCGTTGTTCTCCTGTTTACTCGGAATACCTTCTGTCATACGTTTATCTAAACTCGTTTGAAAATAGTGTTGCATTTTCAGTGACACGCAATCTTAAATCAGTTTTCCGTGGACACAAATCATTTACTTATGGTTGTTGTTGTTGCTGCTGCTGCTGTGGTTTTTGTGTTTCTTCTATGACTTCTTCTTCTTGTTGTTTTTCATCTTCTTCTTCTTCTTCTTCTTCTTCTTCTTCTTCTTCTTCTTCTTCTCCTTCCTCTTCCAATTCTTCTCTTTTTTCTACTTCGTTCTTCTTCTTCTTCGTCTTCGTCTTTGTCTTCTTCTTCTTCTTGTAATTATTATTATTATCTATTTCTTTCAATCGTTTTATTTCTAAAAACAGCCAACAAGCAACAGTTTTAATTACAAGTTTTTCTTGTTCAACTTTCCTGTCTTAATCCGCAGTTGCCAGGAGTTCTCTTAGTTTTGAAAGGGTCTACGCAGTACCTCTATCATGGCCTGCCGAATGCGTCTCATCTTCCAGCAGTAAATCAGTGGACTCAGAGAGGAATTGAGTACAAGCAAATTCGTAGCGTGGAGGTTTACTTTATATACCAAAAAAGGTCGCTCAATATCAATTATTTTTGCTGCAATATTGAAACAAATCTGTGGTAGGTAACAAGCCACAAATGTGAGATACACATAGAATACGCCGAATGCAGCTTTTCTCTCTCTTGCTGCATTTACCGCTTCATTCCTCTCTCCGCATTCAGCTGGCACGTTTTGAACTTGGGCTGCGTGCTGTCGCAAGGCTAAACAAATCTTGAAGTAAAACAGGCCTGACATGATGAGACAAATGAACTGAATGGTAACAAACAAAATGAAACTCTTGTTCTCTGGGAGCCACTCAAGAAATCGAAACAACGGAAGGAAGGCACTCAACAGCCAAAATGAAATGACCCCAACAATGGCGCGTTTATGAGTTACCGCATCCTGGTACCGGAGCTGAAGGCGTATAACCAAAAATCTGTCAGCACTCAACGCCACAATGCTAAAAAACGAAGCATACGTTAGGACGTTGGCCACGACTCTGTACGCGTCAAATATAGGTTCATGGTGATCAAGAAAAATATATGAAGAAAAGAAATTTATGTGGCTGACAAGGAGATAAATGTTTAGTGGCTGCGCTACTAAACCAACACCAAGGTCGGAGACAGACATACTGAGGAGCAATGTTTTCAGAGTTTTTCTTGGCAAGGAAGGAATATTTCTCAGCGCGAGTATTACTAATACGTTTAGCACTACAGCGGTAAAAGCAAAGATGGAACCCACGATGCAAGCGATCAGTGTGTGGTAATAAAGTTCCGAGAAGTACATTCTTTACCTTGGAACCGGACGTTCTTTTCTGTCTACTCTGTCAGAGAAAGTTCATTTTACGTTTCAAAGCGATGAATACTTTTAAAATATATGATTTGTTTGTTTTTAACAAGTCAGCTATTTGAATGCTTCGTTGTTTCTCCTTTACACTTCCAAATGCTTGTTCTGATACGCTCAAACGCACTCTTCAACGATGAAAAGCGATTATTTTTGCCACTACGATTCACATGTTACTATGCCTATATACATGAGCCAAACCATGTGATAGCGCTGAAAAAATTGATTGATTAAAATGATTATTTGGTCTGACAAGAAAGGGAAAGGTCTTCCAAATTGTCTATGATCGTCCAACAGTGACAAGCGAGAAAAATAACAACCGCCAATTTTCGGAGTGAGTTTTGTCAGCATTGGCGTTGGTCATACTGTTTTCCTCTGCACTTATCAGAGAACGAGAAAGTTAATTCGATAATAGAGGGGAAATTGAGCCTACATTTAATAACGACGCCGAACAAATTGAGGTAAAGGATCAAATTACGACCACGCCAACACAAATTTCGCTCCTCCTTGCTTAGATGGTCCGGCAGGTGTCTTCTTTCTCAAGTTTAATGTAAAGAAAGAGGTTAATTTATGGAGAACAAAAGGAAAGCAAACATTTTCGAAAACTATACGTGCCAGCAAGTTAACATGGCAAGGAACACTGCACTGCAGATAATGAACGCTCACCTCGATGGTAGCCGCTGTTGACAGCATTTGCAAGAAGCGATAAAAAAAACTGTCTCATTCACGGTGCAGAGTTGACGGAAGCAAATAAAGCTCTGTGTTTCTTCTCGGAAAGGGGAGTTATTTAAACTTTCAACGTTGATCTTTTCAATCATTAATGCTAAAGCTCACAAAAAATTAAAACTAACAACAACAACAACAATAAGCTTTATTTGCATGACCATAACAAAGTATTACAGTATTGCAAAAGCTACTTGAAATTACTCATTGATTCCTTGTAAATTAAATATTTAAAATAATTTGAAACTTATTAATCATTGTTTATTTCTAACCATCAGTAGGATTAATTATTAATTATTTGTCCCTCAATTCAAAGCAAGTTGATATAAATGAAATTAATTGGATGTTAATAAAATAGTCAGTAGAATTCATCAGATTTGATAATAGGGACTCATGTGATTGTAGTCGTAGAAACGGTATTTTAGGTTCTAGTTTAGAGAATAACATATCTCTTATCGAAGAGAAACTTGGACAATCTAATAAAAAGTGAGTTTCGTCTTCAATTCTGTTACAATTGCAGAGATTGCATAACCTTTCGCCACGTGGTAGATTGTCGTATCTACCTGTCTCAATCCTAAGTTTGTTTATTCTCAGTTTCACTAATGTTTTCCTAGAAGGGTTCTTTCTTGTTAAATCTAGGTAGACAGAAGGGCTATAATTCGTTCTGATTTTATAATAAAAGTTAAGTTTTTGTGAATGTTGAAGGGTATGATTCCAGTAAGTGATATATTTCTTTTGCATAAGATCTACATATTGCTTAATTTTACATTTATTCAGTAAATTACAATTAAAGCCTGGGAAATCATAGTCGTCAGTCATCTTCTTAAGACTGGAGTAAAAACTATTTTGGCCACTATGATAAAGGTCAACAGATATTTTTAAAGATTGTTTAACTATAGAATTTTCATCTTTTTCTTGGAGATAGTTTAAGTAATTAAGTATCTTGTTATTTATATCAATGATCAGAGGGAATCTGCCAAGTTCAGATCTGCATGCAACATTGGATGACTTGTTATGGACTTCTAAATATCGTTTACAGAAGTGTAAATGAGTTTATTCGATTCCGGAGTTATCCCTTGACTTAAAATCTGATTTCACAAAGGCACCCCAAACTTCACTATTGTAAGTTAAAATCGGTGAGATCATTGTGTCCAAAATTTTATTTGCAAGGGAGGGTTTCGGTTTACTAAAATCAGTGTGGCGTCTTAGACTAAATAGAGCATGAAGGGCTTTTTGTCGAAGATGTTCAAGTGAGAGTGTAAAAGGAAGACGAGATGCGAGTCCCTAAGTAAGTATAGTCTTTTACAATGTCTATCATTTCATTGCCTATGTGAAAAACATAATCACATTTTTTTGTGCCTTTTTGGAAAACCATTATTTTGGTTTTCTTGCGGTTGATTTTAAGCATCCAGGAGTTGCAATATGAAGACAATTTGTTGAGGCAATTTTGTAATCCTAATTTCGATCGTGATAATATAATAAGGTCGTCAGCATAAAAAAGAGAATTGAGTTTGGTGCCATTTGGTAGCACAAACGGATCAGATAAAATATTGTTGAATGAAAAAGCTAGATCATTAACGTATAGGTTGAAGACAAGAGGGCTTAAAATGCAGCCTTGACGCACACCTCTAGTGTATTGAAAAGGATGTGTTTGGTTATTTCCAATCCTAATAGAACAGGTAGAGTTTGAGTATAAACTTTTTATGACTTTATAGAAGTTTCCTCGGACATTTATTTGTAACAGCTTGTATAAGAGTCCATCGTGCCACACCGAATCAAATGCTTTTCTAAAGTCCACAAAACATGCGTATACTTTCGTTTTGTGACAGTCAACGTATTTGTCAATTAATGTTCGTAGTGTAAGAACATGGTCAGCGGTTCGATTATTTGCTAAGAAACCTATTTGAGATTTATGAAGTATGTCACTCGACTGAATGTGCTTGAGAAGTCTTTGATTGAGAATTGAGCAAAATAGTTTCCCAAGACAACTAGAAATACAAATTCCTCGATAATTTGAGGGATCACTTTTAGCCCCACTTTTAAAAATTGGTGTTATAAGGCCACCGCACCATGTTTGAGGCATAGTGCCTGACATCAGAACAGCATTGAATAACTTCAAATAAATAGGCATTAGTTCATTTAAGCTGGATTTGATCATTTCATTTTTTATTCTCTTTGAATACGAAGATTTGTTGTTTTTGAGTTTGTTAGCCGCTGTGCGTATTTCGAGTTCAGTTATTAGGTAGTCCAAAGCATGCGATTGTGTTGTTGCGTCTTCTAATCTTGTTAACTCATCGATAATGGCTTCTTGGTGTGAATTAAGAGGCTCGTTTGAATGTAGTGACTGGAAGTGAGACAACCAACTTTCTTCTGAGATTGGCGGGGTACTAGTTTCCTTCATAGAATCATCCATAGATTTCAAGCAGTTCTAAAAATTTCGGCTGTTTGAGTTATCTATCATGTCTTCTAGTTCCGAGATCTTAGTATCATAGTATTCTTTTCTCTTCTGTTTCAGAACGTTTTTGTACTGTTTTAAGACAGTGTGATAGTTTTCCCTAAGCGTAATATTGAGAGGATCTCTGTGTTTTAGATTAGCAAGTTTCCTCAATTCGTGTCTCTTAAGACGACATTCTTTATCAAACCATTTTTTGTTAGACGAAACAGAAGATAATCTAGTATATCGTCTTTTAACGTTCTTAATTTTCAAACAATGTTTTGCGGTTGCAAAAAGAATCCTTTCTACTGCATCGAGAGAGGAGTTAATGTGTTTGTCTGGCCTACTGTCAACAAGAAAATCATGTATCATTCTCTGTATGTCTCTTGTTTGCATTGCTGTTTTAAATTTTTGTGATGAATCATTTTCCCATATAAACTGTTTGGGTAAACGAATTAATGTATCATTGGTATTTTCTGTAGCTAAGTGGGTATTTACCTTAGTAATGTTAAACCATGTCATTATTGGACTGTGATCTGATAAACTCGACGGCTCTTTGACAACAAAATTCGCGATAGAGTGGAATAAGTCTTGGTCGCATATTGCATAGTCAACAACACTAACTCCTAATTTACCATGAAATGTTGGCCTTCCCAGCGAATCGCCAAGGGATCTACCATTCATAATCGTTAGATCTGCACTCCTACATATTTCTAAAAGCCGTTTACCGTGGTTATTTAATTCGTTATCAAAGCTGTGTCGCTGAAGGGCGCATAAGGAGAATTCAGATTGATCGTTTGTTATAATGGTGTTGCCCTCTTGACAGACATTGTCTTAGTATTTGCCTGTTCTAGAGTTGAAATCACCCATGAGAAGAATTGATCCAAAAGCCGAGAATTTCTCAATATCGTTTTCAAGTTCTTCAAATAGTTCAGGATTTGCCATGTTTGAAAATACAGCAAATATCCAACTGTTGTGCATCTCCTGTTTACGGCTACATGTTCACCCATGAATTCACCCGTGAATCAAACTAATTATTTCTTTCACGGTTTCCTTTCTGATTCTGTTGAGATCACTTCGTGTGCATATACTAAAACAATTATTCACCTCAGGCTCAGTTAATATTGATTAATCCCCGAGACGAAATTAATCAACAATTATTAACTTCACCTTCGGCGAATAATTGTTAATTATTATTCACTCAAAATATTTTCCCGATTCTGATTGGCTAAAAGCACAAGCATAATTCACCATAACCAGTTTCTGATGACCAAATTTGGAAGAATTTTGTGTTTAACAAGGAAACGACGTCAAAAATGCATCGTTCGTGCAAGTTAAGGCGTTGAGTTGTTTTGCTTGTGAACTTGAAAAATGGCGCACATTTCACTCGTTTCAAGAGTAAGAACTAGGCAAAAAAATAACTAAAAACATGGCAAGAACAGCAAGAAGACAACTCGACGGGCGACATCTGCTATTTGGAGAATATTTGCGGAGCTGGACAAACCTAAACGTGTACTATCGAAGATGAACTTAACATCGATGGATCGATGGAGTTACGGTAAGCATGTTTTGGCCATGTTTTTAAACTAGGAATTATTTTGAATGAATAATAAAACAATTATTGAATTCGGCTTTCGTATCATATGAAGAATTATGGAGATCTGGGAGGGTGCCTACGGCCTCGACGGATAACACCCTCCTCGATCTCCATAATTCTTCATAAGATACTCAGCATCATTCATTAATTGTTTTAAATATTGCTCCATAGACTACAAAAATACAAAAAACCTTATAGTGGCCCGTAACTAGGGTGCTCACGATCACTAAAAAGAAAGCGGACTCTCTGCACGAGATTGGGTCCGTTCCACTTATAGAAATAGATATGATTTTTATGGAACCTGCGTTATAAGTGGTGAAGTTATGCTAGTTTAGTTTGACAGAAAGCCTCCAATCGGCAAGCAGAGGTTTCCTTGAGGCCAGAGGCCAGAAGTAGCGTCCAGCTGTTATCGTATGTATTAGGTCCAGTACTATCACTTTCTGAAGTAAATTAATTCAGATGTTCTCTTTGTATTTCCTTACGTAAATAGAGTTGATCCTTAGTTTTCTCACTTAAAATATATAATTCATCCGGTTCATGTTACAGGGAGCGCAGGGGGTCTAATCTCAAGAAAATTCCCATGGAAAGAGGGAGGAGCAAAGAAAGGTCTTCCCTAGAAATTCGTCCCTTTTGCAATCATCTTCGCGCCTATCTATACGGTACCCACGTCCGCTTGTTTCCAAACACCCTGAGCTCGATTTCGCCCCACATAAGGTAATTCAAAGGATTTCAGGTACTGGATTCCGGAATCGTTCCGGATTCCAATCGTTAGTGGGATTCCGGATTCCTTGAGCTGAATTTCCGGTTCCAAAGTTCAGCGTTCCGGATACCACGGGCACAACTTTCCTGTATTCTGGAATTTGAATCAGGAGGCGATCGATTCTCGTACGGAAATCAGCTGAATGAACTGTTATGCTCATGCCGATCTAACCTCTAACCATTGATTTCCAGTAACATTCTGCTGCTGTCTCTGTGACTGTCGCATTCCCCAGACAGGTTACGATAGTAAAAATGACCCAGAGGAAGACAGCGACTGCAGCGATGTTGAACGACTGGTTGCCACTCTCAAACAAGGACATGGAGAAAAAGTGTCGACGAACGGCTTCACTCCTCAGAGGAGTCAAATGCGGACCAAAGAACACGAAACGGGGAAAATGAATAAAGTTTTTGATAGTGTAGGTGAAATACCTTCCAAGAGTGATAATGGGAGGAGGACACCTCGTGCTACGTTTTCACGGCAGCCATAACCGTGATGGACAAGAGTATGAAAATCGATCAGCAAATAACGTGATATAAATGAATGAAAAGACAGACGCTAACAACTTACATCACAACGAACACAGAAATTCGCCACTTTTGCATTGCTCTGTAATACACTTTTTGTGCCCCCTCCCGCCCAGACCCTCACCAAAGCAACATTGTTTCCAATTTCTCCCGGCTATTACCGGGGGGACATTACAGTAGTCCGCTCCCCCAAGAAAAAATGAAGACAGTGCTTATGCAAAATTTGGTGTTGGGGAAGGGGGGGAAGGTTGAGGGGCAAACAAGGTGTATACGTGGGCAACGCAATAGTCACGAATAATCGGCCATACATTTTCTTATAAAAAAAACCCTAGTTAATACGGCCAAATATTTTTGGCCCATTGGTGATCGTAACAACGGAGTTCCACTTTATCGAATGTACTACATGTGTAGGTTGGAATTATTTAGGTCACTACTGTCCACACGCTGCCCATCGATGAAGTGTAGGCTTGTCACAGTGTTGACCTCGAACACAGCATAAACTGAAGACAAGTTAGAAAACATAGCACAGTGGGTATTTATACCTCACGATTGTCAAATAGTAAAGGAAATTCGACGATAAATGTCTTGGCCTCGTGGCCTAATGGATAAGGCGTCTGACTTCGGATCAGAAGATTCCAGGTTCGAGTCCTGGCGGGGTCGTTCACGCTCTTTTTTAATATTGGTTCTTCGTTTGACACGATGCATTTACTTTTGCGTTAAGGTAAAAGAATAATTTTGGCGTGAAACTCATCAATTTACTCGAAAGTCGTAATACTGTTCAAAATCTTTTTTTTTTTCAAACTAGCTTTAGTCTATGTGCAACGTTCTGTTTGTAATCAATTTCAATCGTTTCCCATAATTCTGCAGAGCAGCTCGAAAAAAAAAATCAACCTACAAAGAGAAAATTACAAGCGATGTTTTCTAAAAGATTTATTCGTACTGATCTAACGTTTTCACTTCAGAGCTAATGAAGACTTATCAACCAGCTGAAGAAGGACTTAATTTCACATTACCGTTACCGTAATACGTTTTTAACAAATAAAATTTCCATTGATAGAAAGTGAAAAAAGCCTTTTTTAGTTTAAGACTACAATTGTAGATCCAACAAAATACATTCCTCACGGAGCATAGTAATGTGTAGTGATTTTGATCAGCATTGAATCTAATTCTTTGATGACTTAAATTGACAAAAGAAAAATCGTTAGGGATTCATTTTTGCTTTTTCGCAACTTTTAAGAATAAAATCAGAAACGGTACTTTTCTCCAGAAGTATCTCATTTGACAAGAGTCCTAAAAATCCTTGAATACGATTGGCTAATCGTACGTTTGTTACAGGTTCAGCTTTTTGCGGCCGGTCCGATGTAATCGGTTGTCAAGGTTATGTTTTCTCGGCTTACGCGAGGTTTTAAAGTGTTTGTAATAAACGAGCAATAGCCACAGAACAGCTTACTTAGAACAGCTTGCTGATAAACGTCATGTATCAACAACGAGAGGAGGTTAACGGTAGAGAATTAAATTTTGTGTTTAAATATATTAAATTACCTTGAACTGTATCAAAGGAGAATTAGAAGCGAACTCGCCCTTCAGATGAAATATTTGACGAAAAACACAAAAACAACGGCAGAAACCTTCCCTCTCCCCAAAAAAGTTGATCAAAAAGTCTCAAAAAGATAGCCTCAGAAGTTCAAACCGTCTCGTTCGGCGTTGAGCTCGTGCAGATAAACGTTACATTTTGTTTTTATGACGTCATTTCTTTTAGTCTTTCCACGTAAGGAAGCGAGATGAATTGTGTCGCATTTGGGAAGGAAAAAATTAAGGCGTTCTTGACAAAATGAAAGCCTTTTTAACTCTCAACAGTGTTATTTTTGAAAAAGGAATCTTCAAATTATTTTTCATCTTGCGTAAGCTGGGGTAGAAAGGCGCACGGCGAAAGCAAAAATCGCTATTTTTCCTAGTGCCGACTATAACTCAGTTCGCTCTCTCAGTGTCAAATGCTGTGCCAATGTTGCATTCCAAAACATTACGAACTAACTAAAGTTGATCAGTATCAAAAGAAAAGTCATTTCTTTGATTCAAAGTTTTCTCTTCATAACCCCTGCTTGCTGTGAAAAGTTACATTTGGTTTTATGTTACTTAATCTGTGGTTTCTTATTGTTCCAAATAGATAAGGACTCTTGCGAGCACCCTTGAGATAACATGCATGCATGCAACGTCACATCATAAAAACTTTTATAAACCTTTTTTTGTCAGATTCACTTTAATCAAGGTAGATAGATGCAAAATTTTCAGTCTCAAGTTGTTTTAGTCATATTTACCGGTTAAAATAGACCTGAATTATTACTAAAAAATAACGGAAAAAAATTTCGGTAAGATGCGAGGCGCTTTAGAAAGTAAGTGAAGGAAATATCTATTAAAAAGTAAAGCATTAGCGAAAGTGCCAGGTTTTATATGGAGTTTGGGGCGTTGCCCTTCATCAATGGACTTAATAGTACGTTAGAACTGGTCCAAAGTGTTTATGACGCTATGAATTAAAAAATAATAAAAGCTTTGTAGTGCGCACGTGGCTTTGCGCGCGGCCTACTGGAGACGGAAGTCGTAACTTCCCGTTATAAATTTCTACAGTGAATCCAGTTCTCTTCAGGTGTGAAAGCTTCATAAAGCGATCACTCACTCTAACATGAACGAAAATACAGAGGAACAGCTCCATCGTCGTTTCAATTTTGTAGAAGACTTTTGGACAACTGAGAATGAGATAATCGAGGTCTACTGTTTTTGAATATTATTAAAATTCGACCTATAATTCATAAGAAATAAACCACTTTATACTGAAGGATAAGTAATACGTCGTGCAAATTTATCTCTGTTTGCGTTTACTAAATTTTTGCGCACGATTCCTCTCTGCATTAATGAACTGGACATGGCAGGACACGTTTGATGTGATGAGTGTTATTTGGTTGACTGATTATTGCTGCATGGCTTTATACCTCACCATTCAGTACGTTACAAATATCATCACCCAATGCAGGTGAAGGTGCACACGGCTTAAATACACATTTACAGCTATTAAAAAGTTACTACAACCCTGTTCAAAACTCTTGGGACGCTAACGCAATAGCTATCGTCGAAATAATGCATTTTCCCTACTTCTCCCACGGTACAGTGTCGACGTCATGAATACGAGTCTTATGACAATCAACATTACTTGGCGAAGAGGGGGCCGCCGCGCCGCTCTTACAACCGGTTCATTCCCAGGTTTTTTTACTGGGGGAAGTAGATTACGAGCTAGCCTTGTCTGTCTCTCCTTGCGGCCATTTTTTAAAAACGACACATTTATATTACAGACACCTTTTTTCGTTCCAAAAATTTGAAATTTCATTGAATCCTTAAAACCTGAATACGAGCAACTCTGCAGCTTGCGCCACAGACGGAAATAGCCTTCTTGTTAAGTCAGTCTGCGAAAAAGTACCGAAAAAGTGTTCTGGGCTTAAAAAATGTTTACCAATATTTGAGAACGCGCTATAATTGAAAAGTTAAAAAAGCCATCGCCAAAAGTGCCAATCAGGTGAAGGGAAACTCGAAACGCATTTCCAATAATTCATTGGGCACTTCCCAATCGACCCAAACTTTCGGAAATTTCGGATGGTACATCCAATGGAACGGACCGCTTTGGTTTGCTCCGAGCGGAATTTGAAGGTGCATGGTCCACTTTGACCCGTCGGAACGAAATGTTCCATTCCATTTGACCAAACTGTTGTCCCCCGTACCGCTCTTTTGTATCCTGCTTACAAGAACAATAACCAAACGCGCGGTGGCTTGGGTCGGGTCTGTGCAACCGGAGTCACAGTTCCATTGGGCACGTGGAATTTCCGAAATTGAATTTCAAACCGGAATTTTGTTCAATAGAAAGCGCCCATTTAGTCCGTAGGGGCTAATAACAAGGATATCGGCTCTGCTTCGAGGACCTTACTAAGGCACCAGCAAGAGATCATAATAGGACCTGTCCTATTACGTCTCATGGGGTCCGGTTATCATGTATCGCCTGGGGGGAGGGGGAGGGAGGATTTTAGGCTAAACAAGGTGAAACTGATTTAGCCGATCCCCCCTTTGAATGTTACTTCACTTAAGTGACCCCCTAATAACGTTTGATGACTTTCGCGATCCCCCCCCACCCCATGCCTTAATTTTCAAAGCAAATTTTAGTGTTTCCCCCTCTGAATCCTTCCAAAGTTTTCAGCCATTCCCCCTTTCGGGATCTCAGCTCCCCTTTTGTTCTCCCAAAAATCAAGTAGTACCCCCTAAAATCCTCCGCCCCCCACCCAGGCGATAAATAATGACCGGTCCCTAACCGAGGTTAGATTACGTCGGTGACCCAGGCTAACGACTCTGCAATGCAGACACAAGTCCTTCTCTCCCTCCCTCCTCGCACGCACCTCGCGTTTCTCTCGCGCCTAAAACTCCTTTTCCCTTCCCTTTCAAACGCCTGCCACGCAGGCACCGCGTTCCCGGCACTGCAAGCTAACAGTGGCCCAACAACCGGTGGTTTTCAAAAGACTTATTTTCAGGTCTCATTTATTTCTCGCGGTCTATGCTTTTCTCTTTCGCTAATTCCGTTAGTTATTCTGCTGTATCTAACGTTTGCCTTATAGACTGCTCTGTGAAATTCGCAAACGCGGGCTAGAGAAAAAATGTGACTGGTTACGCCAAGAAAAACTACGTGAAGGAGCAGCTCAAAAGAAACCATGGACACCGAAACCACCTAAAAAGAAGCGACCTAACTGTTGTGGCAAATAACAAAAATAGTAGCTTTGATCGCAATTATGAAGGACAAGCGCTTTCTTGTTATATGATTCGTTTTTTATTTATGCTGTTTTCCAAGATATCCGTTTACTAAATAAATGTATGTCTTGTTTTCATACATTGTCAAGTGAGTGAGTTTGGACTTGCGGCCAGGAATACGAAATTAAAGCTTCTCACCACAACAAATTTCCTTTAGTGGGTTTTGCTGAGAAAAAAGTACTTCCTTTCATTGCTGGATCATGTATCTGACACTCCTTTCTAGATCTCTTCACAACAACATTAACAGCAACAATATATAAGTTTTATTTGCATATAGATCCCCAAAGTCGACCAATTTTTCCAAACGTTTGGTGCTTGCCTCAATACAAACGTCTGTAAAGTTTTGCGACTTTAAGAGGCTAATTTGTTTGTTCTTTTTCAACAAATCATTCAGAAACTTTGGGCAATATTTTTCTTCCTTAGCCCATTTTTCAGCGATGTCGATGGATTTTCACTAACTGTTCCAAGCCAACAATTGAAAAAATCGTTGAAGAGTCTATCGTGGAATGAACTTCCATTCGCAGAGCTAGTCGTGGATCAACTTTCGTTGATATTTTTTTAATCCAGGCTGAAAATACTTTTAGCTAAAGAAGTGATAGTTTTTGTATTTAAACACTTTCGAATGTATTTGTATAGAGAGTGTACTTATAACATAACAGACACGCAGGTGTTTGTGTTAATGTTAATCCCTAAAAAAATGTGTTTTTTTTTTACAATCGATTCGGATAAACGACAGCTTGCGGTAGAACAAATAACTAATCAATTGCGACAGTTTTGTTAAAATAAAATACGACAGAGCTATTAAAAAAATTCGAAAGGTATCGAAAAACAATTACCTTTTGACAGAAGGTGTCTCTTATTCACTTTCTTTTTCCCACCCAATTTTTGTCGCGACAGTAAGGAACCTAACATAAAAAAATTAAACGCAATGTACCATAATTATCATACATTATCATACTGTCCAAGTTAAGAAACAGGGCACGATATATGAAAGCTATACGATATATAACCGAAATATGACAGTCAGTAGATGTGCTCACATTGTGGGTGGCGCCTCTTAAAACGTTCTACTATTGGTGTAGGATTTAATGGAGCCGAAACGAATTGCGGAATTGCACACCTTTTATGCATCCTACTGATGAAGAGATACGACTTTTAGATATTTCGAGGAACAATAATTTGCCGTCTGTCCTCTTTGAATTTAAATGAATGTACTCATCGAAAGGACTCGGTTAGCGATAACATACTCAGAGCTCAATTTCATGATGATCCTACTTACACTGCCGCACTGTCCAATTTTCTTGTAGCGCACTCTGCAGTTTGCAGCCATTCTAGTTGTCGAGTTTAAACCAAAATTAATACCACACTATCGTTTTCTATTTGCTTTTATTTTACGGTTTATAGTACACATAACTCGTGAAGTATTCAGTAACCCATTTGATGAATCAATGACCGTCGTTACCTACCTAATACTTAGCATGTTTTGAATAATTTAAAACGGTACCCTTGTTCTCCTGTTTACTCGGAATACCTTCTATCATACGTTTATCTAAACTCGTTTGAAAATAGTCCCGCATTTTCAGTGACACGCAATCTTAAATCAGTTTTCCGTGGACAAAAATCATTTACTGGTTGTTGTTGTTGTTGCTGCTGCTGCTGTGGTTTTTGTGTTTCTTCTACTTCTTCTTCTTCTTGTTTTTCATCTTCTTTTTCTTCTTTTTCTTCTTCTTCTTGTTCCTCTTCTTCTTCTTCTTCTTTCTCTTCCTCAGCCAATTCTTCTCTTTTTTCTAACTCGTTCTTCTTCTTAGTCTTCGTCTTCGTCTTCTTCTTCATCATCATCTTCTTCTTCTTCTGCTTTTTCTTCCTCTTAGTCTTCGTTGTCTTCTTCTTCTTCTTCTTCTTCTTCTTCTTCTTCTATTTCTTTTTCTTCTTCTTCCTCTTCTTCTTCTTCTTAGTCTTTGTCGTCGCCTTCCTTTTTTTCTTCTTCGTGGTCTTCTTCGTCTTTGTCTTGTAATTATTATGATTATTATCGGTTTCTTTCAATCGTTCTATTTGTAAAAACAGCCAAACAGCAACAGTTTTAATTACAAGTTTTTCTTGTTCAGCTTTCCTGTCTTAATCCGCAGTTGCTGGCAGTTCTCTTAGTTTTGAAAGGGTTTACGCAGTACGTCTATCATGGCTTGCCGAATGCGTCTCATCTTCCAGCAGTAAATCAGTGGACTCAGAGAGGAATTGAGTACAAGCAAATTCGTAGCGTGGAGGTTTACTTTATATTCCAAAATAGGTCGCTCAATATCAATTATTTTTGCGGCAATATTGAAACAAATCTGTGGTAGGTAACAAGCCACAAATGTGAGATACACATAAAATACGCCGAATGCAGCTTTTCTCTCTCTTGCTGCATTTACCGCTTCAATCCTCTCTCCGCATTCAACTGGCACGTTTTGAACTTGGGCTGCGTGCTGTCGCAAGGCTAAAAAAATCTTGAAGTAAAACAGGCCTGACATGATGAGACAAATGAACTGAATGGTAACAAACAAAATGAAACTCTCGTTCTCTGGGAGCCACTCAAGAAATCGAAACAACGGAAGGAAGGCACTCAACAGCCAAAATGAAATGACCCCAGCGATGACGCGTTTATGAGTTACCGCATCCTGGTACCGGAGCTGAAGGCGTATAACCAAAAATCTGTCAGCACTCAACGCCACGATGCTAAAAAACGAAGCATACGTTAGGACGTTGCCCACGACTCTGTGCGCGTTAAATATAGCAAAGTGATCACGAAGAATATACGACTGACAAAGAAATTTTATGTTGCTAACAAGGACATAAATGTTTAGTGGCTGCGCTACCAAACCAACACCAAGGTCGGAGACAGACATACTCAGAAGCAATGTTTTCAGAGTTTTTCTTGGCAAGGAAGGAATATTTCTCAGCGCGAGTATTACTAAAACGTTTAGCACTACGGCGGTAAAAGCGAAGATTGAACCCACGATGCAAGCGACCAGTGTGTGGTAATTAAGTTCCGAGAAGTACATTCTTTACCTTGGAACCGAACGCTCTTTTCTGTCTCCTCTGTTAGTGAAAGTTCATTTTACGTTTCAAAGCGATGAATACTTTTAAGATATATGATTTGTTTGTTTTCAACGAGTCAGGTATTTGAATGCTTCGTTGTTTTTCCTTTACACTTCCAAATGTTTGTACTGATAAGCTCAAACGCACTCTTCAACGATGAAAAGCTATTATTTTTCCCACTATGATTCGATTGTTACTATGCCTATATAGACGTCCCAAACCACGTAGCACTGAAAAAATTGACTGATATGATTTTTAATGATTATTTGATCTGACAAGAAAGGGAAAGGTCTTCCAAATTGTCTATGATATTCCACCAGTGACAAGCGAGAAAAGTAAGAACCGTCAATTTTCGGGGTGAGTTTTGTCAGTATTGGCGTTGGTCATACTGTTTTTCTCTGCACTTATTAGAGAAAGAGAAAATTAATTTGATGATAGAGGGAAAATTGAGCCTACATTTAATAACGACGCCGAACAATTTTGAGGTAAAGGATCAAATTACGACCACGCCAACATTAGTCACTTCTCTTGTAGATACAAATTTCGCTCCTCCTTGCTTAGATGGTCCGGCAGGTGTCTTCTTTCTCCCGTTTAATGTAAAGAAAGAAGTTAATTTATGGAGAAAAAAAGGAAAGCAAACATTTTCGAAAACTATACGTGCCAGCAAGTTAACATGACAAGGAACCGACTGCACTGCAGATAAACAATGCTCACCTTCATCGTAGCCGCTGTTGACAGCAAGAAGCGATATAATAAAAAACTGTCTCATTCACGGTGCAGAGTTGACAGAAGCAAATAAAGCTCTGTGTTTCTTCTCGGAAAGGGGAGTTATTTAAACTTGCAACGTTTTCTTTTCAATCATTAATGCTAAAGCTCACAAAAAAATTAAAACTAAGATTTGCCATGTTTGAAAATACAGTAAAGATCCAACTGTTGTGCATCTATATACGGTTTACGGCTACATGTTCACGCATGAATTCACTTGAGAATCAAACTGATCGTTTCTTTCACGGTTTCCTTTCTGATTCTGTTGAGATCACTTCGTGTGCATATGCTAAAACAATTATTCCCCTCAGGCTCAGTTAACATTAATTAATCCCCGAGACGAAATTAATCAGCAATTACACACAGTAACTTGGCCTTTGGCGAATAATTGTTAAATATTGCTCCATACACTACAAAAATACAAAAAACCCTATAGTGGCCCGTAACTAGGGTGCTCACGATCACTAAAAGGAAAGCTGACTCTTGGCACGAGATTGGGTTCGTTCTACTTATAGAAATAGATATGATTTTTATGGAACCTGTGTTATAAGTGGTGAAGTTATGCTAGTTTAGTTTGACAGAAAGCCTCCAATCAGCAAGCGGAGGTTTCGTTGAGGCCGGAGGCCACAAGTAGCGTCCAGCTGTTATCGTTTGTATTAGGTCCAGTACTATCACTTTCTGAATTAAATTAATTCAGATGTTTTTGTATTTCTTTCCGTAAATAGAGTTGATCCTTAGTTTTCTTACTTGATAACTCATCCGGTTCATGTTCTTGGGAGCGCAGGAAACAAAGTTTCAGAGGGTCTAATCTCAAGAAAATTCACATGGAAAGGGGGAGGAGCAAAGAAAGGTCTTCCCTAGAAATTCGTCCCTTCTGCAATCATCTTCGCGCCTATCTATACGGCACCCATGTCCGCTTGTTTCCAAACACCCTGAGCTCGATTTCGCTCCACATAAGGTAATCCAAGGGATTTCAGGTACTGGATTCCGGACTCGTTCAGGATTCCAATCGTAAGTGGGATTCCGGATTCCTTGAGCTGAATTTCCGATTCCAAAGTCCAGGATTCCGGATACCACGAGCAAATCTTTCCTGTATTCTGGAATCGAATTTGAATCATGAGGCGATTGCAGAAATCAGCTTAATGAACTGTGATCGTCATGCCCATCTAACCCGCCTTTAACCATTGATTTCCAGTAACATTCTTCTGCTGTCTCTGTGACTGTTGCATTCCCAAGACAACTTACGATAGTAAAAATGACCCAGACGAAGACAGCGACTGCAATGATGTTGAACAACTGGTTGCCACTCCCAAACAAGGACGTGGAGAAAAAGTGTCGACGAACGGCTTTACTCCTCCAAAGAGTCAATTGCCGACCACAGGACACGAAATGGGGGAAATGAATAAAGGTTTTGATAATGAAGGTGAAATGCCTTCCAGGAGTGATAATTGGAGGGGTACAGCTCGAGTTGCGTTTTCACGGCAGCCGTAACCATGATAGAAAAGAGTTTGAAAATCGATCAGCAAATAACAGTAGAAGGGCTTCAGCAAGGATAAGCCCCTTCTTGGACTTCCCTTGGACTTCCTGCATGCTAATTTAGATTTCCTGCATACTAATTTTTTACTTCCTCCATACCAATAAGGATACTCGACAAAAATGCTTTCCTGCATACTAATAAGTGGATAGGTTTACTAATGAGCGAATACTACAATAGGTACAATAGGCTTGCCTCGGCTTGCCCGGTAAGTTACTTGAGCTCGATTTTCAGACCTTCCATTAAAAGAGAAATGGGTATAGATAAGCGATCACCTAGCAACGCGAGAAACGGCTTCCTATACCTTATTTAGCGCTTAAACTCAGATATGTAAACAAAACACATACACAAAGTGGAGTTGAAAAGTCTTTATTTTAATTTTGTCTGACGTTTTCTCCGTTCTATCTCGAGGGCATGAAAAATTATTACAGTCTTGTAATTTCACGCACCGCCAAACAGTTAATTATGGGAGTTTGCAAGCCCAAAGTTGAATACAAATTAGCTCTACAGGAAAGACCTTTTTACCGATACGGCGGCCATATTGAATAAATTCGATTTAAGGAGTATTATAGGATGCCCAGGGGGGCATGAGCACATTTCGTTTGTATTTTTGAGCGCTTTTCGGGACATTTGGATGTAACAATGATCACCTTTTTCTAGTTTAGTATTAGAAATACGGTATTTCACTGTATATTTCTCGGGAAAAAAGGCAATCATTATTATATCCAAACACGGCACAAGGATCTTTTTTTCCCATTAGAATCTTATTCTAAGAAAACTTTAACAAAAAATGTCCCGAAAAGCGCTCGAAAATACAAACGAAATGTGCTCATGCCCCCTGGGCATCCTATAATACTCCTTAAATCGAATTTATTCAATATGGCCGCCGTATCGGTAAAAAGGTCTATTAATTTCCATTCCTTACAAATCGCTGTGTATTTGCTCTTTTTGTTTTCAATAAAGGTTTTAAAACGGTATCTCTCGTGTGGTTTTATTGCTAGCAATTATTAGTCGCGTGTTTTAATTGATCCTTGTTAAGTTATTTAAAATTGTTCATATAAGGGGCCGACCATTTAACTCTTGAGGGTGGGGGTGGGTGATTTCTGGTCATCAAGAATTTTTTTTTCTAGCAATCTGGTGGGCAGGATATTTTTTTCCCTTTTTTTCCCTCAAGCTCTTTATTACATTTGTGCTGCATGCAATTTTTTTCTTCCGACAAGCGCTTGCAGGAAATTTTTTTTTCAAAATCACCCACCCCCCTCAAGAGTTAAATGGTCGGCCCCTAATAATATGTCAAGATGCTCCCTTGGGTCTTTCCCGTAGAGCTAATTTGTATTCAACTATGGGCTTGCGAACTCGCATAATTACTGATTAACGGTGCGTGAAATTGCAAGACTGTAATAGTTTTTCATTTCCTCGAGCGAGAACGGAGAAAACGTCAGACAAAATTGAAATAGAGAGTTTTCAGCTCCACTTTGTGTATATGTGTTTTGTTTATAATATCCGAGTTTTAGAGCTAAATAAGAAGAAGCTAAAAGATTTTTAAAATACATTTAAAAAACATTTTAAAAAGTGAAGGACGTTTCGGCACTACTGACACCATTATCAAGATGAAAAGTGAAAAAGTACAAGGTGTAAAACGAATATATAAAATTTGAAACAATACATAAAATATTTGCTGGTCCAATGGGTATAATTCCCAAGGTAAGAAACACAATAAGAGAAAAAAAACAATGTACAAAAGTGTCACGTAAATAGTTTGGCGCGAATGGAGTCGGCTTGCGTGTTAAGAGAAGGCTTGATGTCCTTTATTAGAAGCGGATCCAGGATTTTTTTTAGGAGGGGGTGCACTCGTCTCTTACTCTACTTCAACACCAATACACCACATATGTTTTTTTTTTTGCAGAATACCAGTTGTATAAGAAAACCGCAGGTCATCTCAGGTGGGGGGGTGCGCACCCCCTGCACCCTCCCCCTGGATCCGCCCCTGTTTATGTATAACATCTCGTAGACTAAGCAATAAAACTTGCTGTTACATTTCCTTAGAACTTTGAAAAGATGATCAGTCTTTGTTCTGTTGTTGCCATGCTGTGTTTCAAGGTGTTTCCCGATGGCTGAAGAACGGTGTTCACTTATGCGTTGATGTTAGTGTCGGGCAGTGTACCCGACATAATTTGCATCGCACAAATCACATTGAAATAAGTGTACATTGAAATAAGTGTATATTCGTTTTACACGTTATACTTTTTCACTTTTCAACTTGATAATGGCGTAACGTAGCGACGAAACGTCGTTCACTTTTTTAAATGTTTTTTAAATGTATTTTAAAAATCTTTTAGCGTTTAACTTTTTGATCAAATCATTTTCGAAATCTCTCCTGTTAAATAAGAAGACATAAACTAAACTGAAATAAAGACTTTTCAACTCCACTTTGTGTATGTGTTTTGTTTATACATCTGAGTTTAAGCGCTAAATAAGATATAGGAAGCCGTTTCTCGCGTTGCTAGGTGATCGCTTGTCTTATTCCTTTTCAATAGACGGTCCGAAAACCGGGCTCAAGTTACTTTACGGGCAAGCCGAGGCAAACCTATTGTACCTAATGTAGTATTTGCTCATTAGTAAACCTATCCACTTTTGTCGAGTATCCTTATTAGTATGGAGGAA